TCAGGATAACCTGGAACTCACAGAGACCCTGCAGTTTCTGCCTCCCAAGTACCGGAATGCACTTCCATACACAGCCTTCATTTTTATTTTTTGTCTTTTTTTTTTTTTTTTTGGTTTTTCGAGACAGGGTTTCTCTGTGTAGCCCTGGCTGTCCTGGAACTTACTCTGTAGACCAGGCTGGCCTCAAACTCAGAAATCGGCCTGCCTCTGCCTCCCAAGTGCTGGGATTAAAGGTGTGCGCCACCACCACCCGGCTATTTTTTGTCTTAATTCTAAGAATCAACTAAAATTTTTGATGTCACCTGGAATAGAGCTGGGGGTTAGTGGTGGTGCCTTTAATTCAGGCACTCAGGAGGCAGAGGCAGGCTGATGTCTATGACTTTGAGGCCAGCCTGATCTACAGAGCAAGTTCCAAGACAGGCAGAAAAACCCTGTCTCAAAAAAGGTGGGGGAAGGCAGGGATCTGGAGAGATAGCTTAGTGGTTAAAAGAACTGATTGCTCTTCCCAAGGTCCTGAGTTCAATTCCCAGCAACCACATGGTGGCTCGAAACCATCTGTAATGGGATCTGATGCCCTCCTCTGGTGTGTATGAAGAGAGTGACAGTGTACCTCACATACATAAAATAAATAATTTTTTCAAAGAAAGGAAGGAAAGAAAGAAATAAAATGTGAGAAGACATTATATTCAAACAAATAAAAGAAGAAAATATCCTGAATTTCAAACCAAAAGCATAAGAAATTCTGTTTGAAAGGACCTAGCAAAGGCCAATCGGGATGTTTATAAAATTAGCATATAGGTCTACTGTGATGTGATCGCAGGGTCTGTAATAAGAAACCCCCCAAAAAATACCAAGCAAGGGAAGAGAAACTTCTGCTGTTTAGTGGAACATCATATTAACTACAAAAATAAAAGACTTCTCCAGAGGTCTTATCATCCATAGACCCACTGGGAAACAAAGAGAAACATTGGCATGCAGGAGTGAGCCCATGAGACAGAGTGGGAAGCAAAAAGTAACACGGACAGGACTGATAAGGTTGTTCAGACCGGAGCGTAAGACAAGCTCGGACAAAACAGGCAGGAGAGTGGGGGAGGGAAAGGAAGACAGGGAATGCAAATGGCCAAGATGATTTGAGATTAACAGTGATTATCTGGGTTCAGGATGTCCTCATCAATGGACACAAACACTCTTGTCTCCTCAGGAAGTAGGAGAGGCAGTGGTACAGAGGGACACACAGACTCGTGAACTTCTGGAGTCCGAATCTCGACTCTTTGTGCCTCATGCCCATGTGAACAGTGGGTATGACATCAGTGCCTGCTGTGCACAGCTGTTCTGAGCCTTTAGCTGCATTGTACCGAAGCGCTGTGGATAGATGGCCAATGGATAAATAAGATTAGCAAGGCAAGTTTATTTCTTGGGGGAGAGACTGTGATCGCTTAAATGGAAAAAAGCTGGAAAATAAAGGTAAAGAAAACTCCAGAGAGCCAGTGAGTTCATGGGATAAAGATTCCTGGAGCCAAGCCTGATGACTCGAGTTCAATCCCTGAGACCCACATGGTGGGAGGAGAAAACCAACTCCAAGCTGTCCTCTGACAACCACATTTGTACCGGGACATGTGTTCACACACACACACACACACACACACACACTCACCCCAAAATAAAATTTCAAAAACTTAAACAAATAAACAAACAAAAACATAGTGAGTTCCAGGCCAGTCATGGAACTCAGCCATGACCTGATCTCAAAATAAATAAATAAATAAACAAATAAATAAAAATAAACAAATGTAAAGAAAACTCATGAATATAAAATAGTTGCATCTCAATACATATGGATATAATACCATTTATATAGATCTCTCTCTCTCTCTCTCTCTCTCGCTCTCTCGCTCTCTCGCTCTCTTGCTCTCTCGCTCTCTCCCTCTCTGGGTATGTGTATGTTCATTCATGAAATATGTGTGACTGGAGAGCTAACCCCCCTAGCTGCCTCAGTGGAAGGAGCTGGTAACAGTGATTCGGGTGAATTTCACCTCTGTTTTTCATGTGGAATCATTACCATGAGAATCTATCTACACATTGTAATAATTTTTGAAAGTTGAGATTAAAGAAGGGGAAGCAATAAAAAGAGACGGAGGACCTTTGCTACTTGGGAGTTAGGAGAGACACGGAAGAGATGACATCAGAGCCATTGTTTTGACAGCGGCAGTGCTTCAGCACGGGAGAGCTGCAGGAGACACTGGGGCTTGACAAACTGATGCGATTGAGCAATGACTGGGGTTTGTGTCCCAGAAGTCTGGAGGGCTGTGATTGGGTGCTGTCTTGGTTTGTTCCTGCTGCAACAACAAGATACCTTATATGGGGTGATTTTGAAATAACAGAGATTGGACTGGAGATGTCGCTGAGTGGTGGAACACTTCTAGCCTGTGAAAAGTCCCAGGACCACATCAGATAAACAATAGAAACGGCTCTCTCACAGTTTCAGAGACTGGACGTGCATGCTCACGGTTCTGACAGATTCAAGACCCAGTGAAGGCACACACTCCCCTGGCCAGATGGTACCTTGTTATGGAATCTTCCTGTGATGGAAGGAAGTGTGCTCCCTCACACACTATTACAGGGCTTCTAATACGCTTCCGTGAAGGCTCTGCCTCCATAACCCAACAGGGCTCTCCGTAATCTCGATTTGTTATTTATTTGCTTTTGTTTGGGGTTTGGGTTTTTGGTGTCCCTTACCTATAATTGTCAGTATTCATGAGGCAGGAGAATTTTGAGTTTAAGACTAGCTTGGACTACACAGTGAGACCCTACCCAGAAAGAAGAGGGGGGAGGGGCAGAGGAGATGACTTGGAAGGAAAAGTGTTTACTGTGTGAACATGAGGGCCTGAGTCTGAACGCCCCGCATCCGTGTAAAAGCCTGGTGTGGCAGCTTACATCTATAACCTCAGCACTGGAGGTGGGGGCAGGGATAGGTGGACCCCGTCTGTGTTCAAGTGTGTGTGACAGAAAAAGGGGAGATCGAAATGGAAAATAATTTCAGAATGAATAATGACTCTTTAAAATGAATGTATTTGCCACTGTGGAAGATCATTCACTTCTTGTTCTGTCTTTGTTTTTCTTGCTTTGTCTTGGACATGTAAAAACTTTTACTGGCAATGGCCATCTGCCAGCTGGCCTAGTGCAGGGTCCTGTGGCCCTATATCAGTGTCCCCAGCCCTCAGATCTCTTCTACCTCCAAGTGACAGAAGCTCTCTAGCAGCACTGGGACATAGAGAGTCTCTGTACAAAGAATACAGAGCTGGTGGGGTTAAGAAGATGATGTTCCCAAGGAAAGGCCTTGGTGTCTGGGCAGAGAGACCTAGCCAGGAAGCCAGGCAGGGAACAAGAGGACATAGGCAACCTTGAGAAAAAGCCCTGGATCCCACTGGCTACGCCTGTGCGCTATACTCCCCCAACCCCTTAGTAGGACCATGGAACCCTGAGCACAACACAGTTCTAATGCTGGTGGAGATGAAGGTACTGGGAAAGACTCAGCTGTAAACTCAGCCCTGCCTGCCCTATGCCTTCGGAGCCTCCTAGGATGAGTGAACCGAGTCTGGGTCTTGTGTGGGGAGCCTACCCTGGGGCCCTTGTGCAGCTAAGAATAGAAGCTCCTTCAGGTTTATTCAGGTGGAGGAGGGGTGTTGAAAGGACTCTGACCTCTGGGATTCTTTCCCTCTGTGTCTACCCTTTGCTGGGCTGCCTGAAGGAAGCCTTTGACAAGCCCGAGGCTCTGTTAGCACAAAAACACACCAGAGTCCTCAGTCGAGATCCAAAAGTGCTCTTGTGTCCGGTGCTGATGGATTGAATACCCCAGCCCACCCCTACACACATACCATACTACGAAAGGACTAATCAGATTGGAGCCAGTACCCTGGGATAATAAAGTGTGAAAAAAAATCCAGAGAAGGAAGTTCTTAATGCCCCATTCTAGAGGCAAAATGGATTGATAGGAAACAAATGAGGGATAAAAAGGATAGAAAGGCAGACAGAAAGACACACAGACAGACAGACAGACAGACAGACAGACAGACAGACAGATAGACAGACAGTTTATTACCATGCCCCGCTCTCCTCGGTGTGCATACTAAGTATATGAACCAGTTCACCGAAAAGCACACTTTTCCCCGGCTGTGGCTTATCTTTCTATCTTTCTGACATCATATACTAAGCTAAATGTTGTGTAAAGATATAGAGGAAGCACCAAGAGAGCCTGAGTCCCATCCATGTTAGTGAGGCTCCATCTGTAATCCCTAGCGCTTGGGAAGTTGAGGCAAGATAGATACATGCCTTCAGTTCAAAACCAGTCTGGGCTGTAAGATGAGACCTTGTCTCAAAAACGGGTGGGAGTCATTAGGGGATAGATGCGAGGTCCAAAACCAGTTTCTTAGCAATCCTGAGACCCTCAGCCAATGAGAGTTCTTGGCTCTTTATTCTGGTCATCAGACTTCAGTAGGACACTGCCTCTCTCCTTGAGTTTCTCTGTGACACTGTCAATTCAGACATTTGCCCCTTTCTTCCCACCCAGGCTTTCAGGAGGCATCGAGATCTGCTCTGCTCTGGACTACTGTCCAGTGGGGTTGCAATGTCTATGAATCCCGACCTTGAGCTAGACACCAGTCAGCCAGACCAGAGAATGGCTGCGTGTGTGGGGGGTGGGGTGGTTGGGGTATGGCATCCTTAGATGAAACCACACTGATAGTAACTTTCTTTTAGGTGTGACAAGACAGACAGACTGTGTGACATGTCAAGTTCAGCTTGTAAGGGGACAATGTGTCCTTAGAGTGGGTGTCCGAAGCTCTGGGACACTAGGTGTCCACAAAATTCCCAACAAATTCACATCTAATTTTACCTCTTAGACTATCGATCTCTAAAGCCAAAAGCAGTTAACTCAAAATTCCACAATGCAATTCTCTCTGACCCCAGACCTCCCCAACTCCGTTATCAAAGACAGCTGGGAATGCATACAAAGTCACACACACTTCCTTCTTTATTGTTATCCACAGGACCTGGGTGGAGCGGGATATGGAACCCTCACAAAGATAGACGTAGAGGAAAGGAGGTGGAAACTGTCTACTTTCCACACCCACCTTCTTCCTAGCTGACAAACGACCTGGGATGGTGGCCATCCGCTGTGGGCGGACACAAGGTGTTTTTAGATACAAGCACAGTGTTGTGTAATAAGGTTGGGTACCATCTCATACTTGAAAGAGTAACCTCCATCTGAGGTGGTTCTGACACGTAGGGACCTCATGCTCCCTGGTAGAGCAGCACAGCAGGGCTTAGCCCCTGGCACCAAAAACAGGGGCTGAACCGGGGTAGGGGGAACCCCAGGGACTGGCAGAGGCAGGTCAGATGTGGGCATCCCGCAGCTACCATGGCAGTAGTGGAATATGAAACTGGGAGGGTGTACGATCCAGCGGTCCCAGCCCAGCTCCTGGAAGGAGATGTTGAGGGCAGCTCGGTGGCAGAAGGCGTGGGCAGCAGGTTCCTCTGGAGGCCTCTGCAGCAAACGCAAAGCTGAAGGAGACCAAGGCCAAGGCATTGAGGGAGTTGAACGCCGGGCCCTCTCCCCCGCACTGGGTGTTCTAGCCCTAGTGTGGGCTACCAGGAAAGGAGTGGTCTCAGGCCGGCCTGAGCAGGAACAGAGTGGGCATCGCAGTAGCAGCACTAGGATGGGGTGGGTCAGCAGAGGGAAAGCAGAGGCTGCCAGATGCAGTACAGCCCACCGTGGAGGGCCCTGTCCCAAGGACACAGGCACAGCCATGGGCCCCCCAGAGGATAGCACCAGAAGATCTAGCAGGGGCCCAGAGCTATTGGAGGCTGCCGTGCTCTTCCTGTCTAGCCCTGTGTGGAACCACAGCTGGGCTGAAGTCACCCGGTGGCTGCGTATGTGCTGGGATGGTCGGAATACATAAGTGAAGAGACCATCCTCAGTCTCGTGGGCGAGCCCTCCAGTAGCTGCCTGGTCCTCACAGGTGGCACCTGCAAGGGACAGAAAAGAGAAAGAGAGGGTAGCCTTGATCTGTGGTACCTGAAACACATCCACCTGAGAAGAATGTGGGTGCCATCCCCCAGTGTCAAACATCGAGTGCCACTTAGACCCAGACATCCCCTGGAGTCTTGGGAAAACTGACGGAGGCTCCCCAATTTTCTATTCATCATCGAAACATGACATTGGTAAATTGTCTCCTAAGCGGTTTCACCAGTTAATACAAAGGGCAATGTGTAAGAATCCATTCCACTCTCTACTTCATCCTCAGGTACCGGAAGCTGTGAAGATTCCGGTAGTGTTTATCAGAGACCATGAAGTGATTCCTACGTCTTGGGTGCATGAGTGTGTTTTGTTACTTTTGCTTTACCTCTGCATGTCAGAAACTTTAAACGACAAATTTCTGTGTTTTTAAAGACAGGTTACAGGGTAGGGAGACTGCTCAGTTGGTAAAATGCTTGTTGTTTCAGCATTAAGACCAGAGGTCAATCCCAGTACCCACATAAAGAGCAGGGTGTACTCTCACAGTCCTGAGGAGACAGACACTCCGGCTCTGCTGGCCAGTCAGTCTAACGAATTAGTGAGGTCCTACTTCAGTGAGAGACTGTCTCAAAAACAAAGGTGGAGAGTGACTAAGGAAGATGTTCAGTGTCAACCTCTGACCTCTGACCTCCACACACGTACAGGCATTATGCATAAACTAACATAGACAGAGGAGGAAGAGGAAAAGAGAAAGAATGGTAGGCAAAGGAGAAGAGAAGAGGTCAGTCCTTCCCAGGGAAGGACAGCTGTCATTCCTGTTCCAGTGTACACACAGACTATAGTAAATATCATGGGCCAGCTGTCGTCAAGACTGGCGATTGGGGCTGGACTAGAACACAGTCTCTCTCATTATAAATTCTAACAATTGATCCATTCTCAAGACAAGACATTAAAGAGACTGACAGTCAGCTAGAAGTGGCAAGACCAGGATTCTATTTGATCTGAAATCCATACTTCCTGCTATTATGTTGCCAGGGGCTGAAGGCAGGGAAGCAAGGAGACCTTAGAGTGGGCTAGACCGGAAGAGCCCAGCACCCATCTAGTCATCCATCTGGATATGGAAAACACATGCAAGGATGAGAAAGAGACTCCTGGAAACACAGACAGGTTCCCCCAACTAAGCACTCTGCTGCATCTGAGACCCTCTCAAGTCCCAACTACCTAAAGCTAATGAAACAGGGTATGTGTGTGTGGGGGGGGGGGTGTGCAGAGGGCATGCAGGACAAACAGTAGATAGCAACCTGAGCCCTGTCTCTACAGAGCCTTAGCTTCCCTTTCGTAATTCCAGGTGTGCTAGGCTCACTGGATCAGTCCAGCTTGAGAAGTAGAGGCTGCCACCTATTTGACATTGGCCAGAGGAGCTTAGGAACCGGCCCCTTGCCACAAAGTCAGCTGAGGAATGGGGCTGCCATTCACACCCAGCGCTGCCAGATTCCCAAGCCCATGAAATAGGTCCTGGCTACTTTTCTTTTCTTTTCTTTTTTTTTTTTTTTTTTTTTTTGGTTTTTCGAGACAGGGTTTCTCTGTGTAGCCCTGGCTGTCCTGGAACTCACTCTATAGACCAGGCTGGCCTCGAACTCAGAAATCCGCCTGCCTCTGCCTCCCAAGTGCTGGGATTAAAGGCGTGCGCCACCACCGCCCAGCCCCTGGCTACTTTTCAAAGTTGACCTGCCAATCCCCAACTTCATTACCTGTGGCTGGGAAAAGGATGGCCTGAGACACATCTTCCTCCTCTGGTTCAGAGGTTCTGTGCATGGAGCCCGCAAGGGCATGTCTTCGAGGCATCCGCCTTATTCCAGGACCCCCACTTTCCCCATCCATTGCTGGGGGCCCCAAGGCATCTAGGAATAGAGCCTTCACCTTGGCCAGGACAAGCTCCCGGACAAGTTCGGGCCCCTGGCAGCTGTCTACATCCTGTAGGGTCAACAGTAAAAGGAGCAGCAGGGACGGCTGGATCATCATAGTTCACTTGCCCTGACGACAGGGAACCCACTCTGCCTTGTGCCCTTTCTGTCTGGGACCTCCCCACTCTCCCCTCCCCATCCCACTGCCGGCCTTCTTCTACCCTTCTCACCCCAGTCTCCCCCAGTCCTTCCCACGCCCTACAGTCTCAGTTGCCCCTGCCCATGGCATTGAGACCTCCTATCTCTGACGCAGATGTCTGTGGCCCTGAGCCTTATCTCCCACTCCCGCCAAGAATGTGGGGGAAGGGGCTGTGATGGGTACTCACCCCAAGTGACCTGACCCATTCAGGCAAGCATACAACCCACTCCTCAAACACACACACACACACACACACACACACACACACACACACACACCTGAGTCTACATCAGGTACCGCAAGTGCCTGGGTGCTTAAGGTTGGCCAGTCATCAAATCATTTGTCAGGAGGACAGAATGCACCAACCCCCTCAGACTTTCTGGGGCTCTTTTCAACCATAGCAGCTGCTAGGCCAGTGTGGGAGGGAAGACCTAGGGTTGAGACTCTGGGCAGGTGGTCCCGCCTGTTCTATACTTAGCCTGGAGGAGCCAGTCTGGGCTCTTGTCCTCCAGCTGTGTCATCAGAGAATATTTTTGGGATTGGCAGCTGCAGGCGACAAAGTTACTCAGGCCCAGGCCTGGCCGGCAGTTGGAGACCTGGCGGTCGGAGGTGGGAGGGAGGAGGGGAAAGAGGCCCAGGCTGTGGGAGGGGGCTGGGAAAAGAAGCTCCTAAGAGCAGGAAGCCAGGCTGCGGGCAGTCTAGGCTGTAGGGCCCCTTGCTGAGCAGGCAAACAGGAAGGACTGCCCCCTGAGCTCTGGGCTCGGGGCCCAGGAATTGCCGCGAAGCAGGGCTGCAGCCTAGGTCCAGAGTAAGGAGGCGAGCGAGCACCAGTGATCACAGGAGTCCCACCGGTCCCAACTCCCGCTCCGCCACGCCCTGGTCTCGGCTCCCGGCCTTCCCGCGCGCTCAGGCGGGCCATCTGCATCGGCCGCAATGAAGGCCGGCTCAGGGGATCAGGGGAGTCCCCCGTGCTTCCTACGCTTCCCGCGGCCCGTGCGGGTGGTAAGTGGCGCGGAGGCCGAGCTCAAATGCGTGGTCCTGGGAGAGCCGCCGCCCACCGTCTTGTGGGAGAAAGGCGGGCAGCAGTTGGTGGCCTCCGAGCGCCTGAGCTTTCCGGAGGACGGCGCCGAGCACGGCCTGCTGCTGAGCGGCGCGCTGCCCACCGACGCCGGGGTCTACGTGTGCCGCGCCCGTAATGCGGCTGGAGAGGCCTACGCGGCGGCCGCCGTCACCGTGCTGGAACCCCCAGCCCCAGAGCCCGAGCCCCAGTCCTCCGAGTGTCCGCTGCCGCCGCCGGGCACCGGAGAGGGCGCTCCGGTGTTCCTGACGGGGCCCCAGTCCCAGTGGGTGCTGCGAGGGGAGGAGGTGGTGCTGACGTGCCAGGTGGGAGGCCTCCCCGAGCCCGAGCTCTACTGGGAGAAGGATGGGATGGCCTTGGACGAAGTGTGGGACAGCAGTCACTTCAAGCTGGAGCCGGGCCGCGGCGCGAGTGACGAGGGCGCAAGCCTGACGTTGCGCATCCTTGCGGCGCGGCTGCCCGATTCCGGGGTGTACGTGTGTCACGCCCGGAACGCGCACGGCCACGCGCAGGCGGGCGCGCTGCTCCAGGTGCACCAGCCCCACGAGAACCCGCCCCAGGATCCCTATGAGACTCCCAGACCTGTGATGGAGTCGCTCAAATGCGCGCCCAAGACCTTCTGGGTGAACGAGGGCAAGCACGCCAAGTTCCGCTGCTACGTGATGGGCAAGCCTGAGCCCGAGATCGAATGGCACTTGGAGGGCCGCCCTCTGCTTCCCGATCGCCGCCGCCTCATGTACCGCGACCGCGACGGTGGCTTTGTACTTAAGGTGCTCTACTGCCAGGCCAAGGACCGTGGGCTCTACGTGTGTGCGGCGCGCAACTCGGCGGGCCAGACACTAAGCGCGGTCCAGCTGCACGTGAAAGGTAGAGCGCTGTGCCTCCAGTGCCTTCAGAGGTCCTCTTTGCTCATGTCCACCCCCACGTCCAGATCAATATTGAATTCCCATTTCCAGCCTGCCTCCCACTTTCAGGGATGCGGGTTTAGATGCCACCAGTACACTGGTGAATTTCTTAGCAAACTATCCAGGTGATTTCAAGGCAGATGATGAGAACCACTAAGCAAAGGAGTAGATGACTGTAAACCTTTCCAATTCCAGAACATTCTTATCCTTTATTCTTTCTTTTAGGCCTCCTTTCCCAACTGGATTCCCATCGGTAGCAATATCTGTAAAATAATAGGACCATTTTGTGAGTGTAAATAACTAAGGCTAAGTTTATATGCTAAGCAGTGAGAACAAGAGGACTGCAGTATTGAAAACACACATTTGGAGTGGAGGCTGTGTTCACAGCTTCGGGGCTCCAAATCTGTTAGGAAGGCTGGTGCAAACCTCCCCGGAGCCACTGCTCATTCACAGGAGAAGTGGTTGTGCTGGAGGAAAAATGCCAGGCAGTCTGTATTCTTTTTAAGTTTCAAAGAAGATGAAGGCAAAAGAGATGAGGGGGGAAAATGACCTTACATGTTTTTCAGTACTCGTGAGCAGAAAATCCAGAGAAAACAAGACACTCTAAGTCACACTGGAAGAAGCTAAAGTTCCCCTTAATAGGACTTGATCACGGTTTGAGGAATTACATTTTCACTAGTGATTGCCCAACTTTCTCCTTCCAAGGAGAACATGTTGGGAAGTTCCCTTGAGTACTGCCTGGCACTTAACCAAGTATGTGGTACCTGAGCTGTGGCAGTGTCCTCGAGAGTCCCAACTCAGTGTGCCCAAACTTGCTAGGCCAGTGAGAAACTGGACCGTCCTCAAGAAAGTAAAGAAACTTCTCCAAGTGGAACCAAACCTTGTTTTCCCCAGCAAGTTAACTCTCTTAGTGGTTTCCTATTTCTGAAACATGGTTTTGAAATGCTTAGAATGCTGTATTAAAATGAAACTTAATAGAGACCCTCGCAGAATTAGGGAAGAGCTGTAGAGTTAGGGGACAGTCTGAAAATCACTGTTCTGGTTCAGTGCTTGCCCTCCCTCCCCATTTCACACTTGAGCAAATTGAGACACATAAATGTTATAAGGTTCAAGGAGATACCGCTGCTGAGCAGGTCAGGCTGGAATTAGGCCAACTAACCTAGCTGGGAACTCTGCTGCCATTCCTAACCTGCTGGGAAGAGCAAGTAATGTCTGGTATGTGTTCTCCTCCTCAGCTAGGCTCCTGAGCCTTATCTTGTTCTCTTTCTACAGAACCCCGCCTACGCTTCACACGGCCCCTGCAGGATGTGGAGGGCCGAGAGCATGGGATCGCAGTGCTGGAGTGTAAAGTACCCAACTCTCGAATTCCCACCGCCTGGTTCCGAGAGGACCAACGACTGTTACCCTGCCGCAAGTACGAGCAGATTGAGGAAGGCGCTGTGAGACGCCTCGTCATCCACAAGCTGAAGGCAGATGACGATGGTGTCTACCTGTGTGAGATGCGGGGCCGAGTGCGCACTGTGGCCAATGTGACGGTCAAAGGTCAGCTGGCCAGTGGGAGGAGGCTGAGGCTGGTGGTGTCTCGTTCCTGGGCTGACGGACTCCCATCCACGTCTCAGGACCCATCCTGAAGCGCTTGCCCCGGAAGCTTGATGTCCTGGAAGGAGAGAATGCAGTGCTGCTGGTGGAAACTCAGGAAGCTGGGGTTCAGGGGTGCTGGAGCCGTGATGGGGAGGAGCTACCAGACATCTGCCAGAGCAGTTGTGGTCATATGCATGCCCTAGTCCTTCCAGGGGTGACCCGAGAAGATGCTGGCGAGGTCACCTTCAGCCTGGGCAACTCCCGTACTACCACTCTGCTCAGAGTCAAATGTGAGAGCGTGGATGCTTGTGAACAGGAGGGCCAGGGCAGGGGCGTTGCCGGTTGCCAGTGCCTGGGCTGGGAAAGTAGATTTAAAGCAGGGGTATTGTTGGGGGCTTCTACAAGGTTCAT